TCGGATGTTTCGGTCTAATAGACCATCTTCAGGACATATTCATAAAAACATAATATAACATTAGACTATATTCAATTCAACATGAAAAGACGATGGACATAAGAGTAAGACTAATCAAAACAGACAACTGAATTTTTTCAAGATCAGTGTTCCGTTTCAATATGATCACGTCGGCGTCACGTGGAGGATGTTGTGAAAACGTAGTCCTAAAATAGAGTATTTTGAATGAAAAATGAAAATAATTTTATTTTAATCTCAAACTTATATGTACGTTTGTCGAACATACACATGTAGCTAGAAGATAAAATAATGTTATAATCGAGATGTTGACTTTCAACACTATGTTAGACAAAAGATTAGAAAGGAAAATCCCATCAATACGAGAATTTTTTTGTTTTTTTTTTTAAACTGTTTTAAGAGAAAGATTTTATAAATTTCAATCGACAGTAATGCTATCTATTGGTCACTGAATACCGAATGTTGCTTATATAGTAACATTACCATGTTATGTTATGTTATTATTTTATGTTGTTATGTTATGTTATTATGTTATTGTGTTATGTTATTATGTTATGTCATTGTGTTATGTGATGTTATTATGTTATGTTATTGTGTTATGTTATTATGTTATGTTATTATGTTATTGTGTTATGTTATTATGTTATAAAGGGAAATTATGTGATGTTAAAAATGTTATAATGTTGTGTTATGTTATTATGTTATGTTATTATGTTGTGTTATTACATGTATAGTAGATAAATAATTACTATAAAGTGAATTGAATATCAGGAAGAAAGGGATTGTCAGAGGTCAGGAATTATTTGTTTTGAGTGTATTATATAGCATATGAGAATATATATTTTTCTAATCCTTCGTTTATTTTTTGTGGGATGTGCATAGTTTTATGGCTATTCTGTTTGTAAATGGTGTTTTTTTTTCCTCGTCTGTTTTATTGTTATTGTTTAACAACAAGTAGGTCTGGCAGAAACGATTCCTAATTGCATTTTGTCCACAGTAATGTCAGTGGAAACAATAGCACAAACTTCATACTGACGGGAAGGTTTTATTGGTTCTACAATTTTCCGGAAAGCACAATAATTTATTGAGTCTGGCAGATACCTGCAACAATTCAACAATCCCGCAACTTGACCTCTTGAGTCAGTAAGTCTCGAATTAACTCCTGACTACTGATCATCTTGTTCTTTCTGATTTTCAGTGCGTTTCTATTGTTGGTCTATAATGATATAATATCCTGTTGTCAGTCATACTACCCCTTTTCGTTATTTTTATTGTATTTATATCAGATATGTTTCTCTGACCTATATATAATATATGACATATAATATATATATATATATATATATGACATATAATATATATATATGACATATAATAAATATATAATTTATATAATATATATATGACATATATATATATATATATAATATATATATGATATATAATATATATATAACATATAATATATATATGAAATATATATATATGACATATACTATATATATGACATAATATCTATGACATATATACATATGACATATAATATATATATGATATATATACATATACATATATATATATATATATATATGTATATATATATATATATATATATATATATATATATATATATATATATATATATATGACATATAATTTCCGAATTCCGTCAAAATGTTCTTTTATAATGTGATATTTTTTTCCTCGTTTTGAATACATTAATACGAATAAACGATTTTTAATATGTTTTTTCACTCTGTACAAGGCTCAAAATCACTCAAGTAGATGGTTACAGAGTATGAGGCGCCGTTTATGCGGATATGTGGGTAAGATAACGGGCAACCCTACAGTTGAACAGCCTAAGATTGTAGTGATCGGGGAAGCAACATCTTGGGAGTCGGTTCCACATAGTAGAAGTTCGTGGGAATAACCTGATTGAGTGGAACATATCTCATCAATGAAATACGAAGAGTATGACGGTGATTCGATACGATATGCGTAGCACGGCGTAGTTAGCCGTGAAAGTTTGAATTCAATAAATCTTTCATTAATTCTTGAACACAGACAATCGCTTTCTTCCTTATATTCAATGCCTGTTCCCCAATAAATAACTTAATTTGAAAAGCTCTATTCAATGACTCGTTTTTTTACGATTTATCAACTTTTTCCCAGAATATATTTTTAGATTGTAAGAATTTGTTTGGCGATAATAATGATTTACTGATGTAAATCGTAATAATTAAGCCATTGCTAGAGGGAGAAGTGTTGGATTAATGCCTTTCCCAAGACTTTTGCGCAGAAGTGAACCCGACTGGAATTAAAAGTCGGCTCTCCGATTTCCAATTCCAAGTCATTATCCATTACACCACCCGCACATCAAAACTTACAGCCCCTGGTATTGCCAAGCGGTCACCCATCTAAGTACTTACCAGGCTCAACTTTGCTTAACTTCGGTGATCATACGAGAGCAAGGGTTTCAACGTATCAAACGTTCTTACGAACAAAAATATTGAATTGAAAGTTGAACACCTCTTCTCAAGTCAGCTATATGTTAAATAGTAAATTATTATTATCTCTCCCCAATTCTTAAAATCTAAAAATGCTTTCTGGCTTTAAATAACCTGAACAGGATTGATAAGTTGTGACCCCCCCCCACAAAAAAAAGAAAAAAAAACAAAACAAATCAATCAATTAAAAAAGGAAGAAAAATAAATTTACAGGAAGTAGAAAGCAACGGGATGTAGATATAATGTTATTATATTTAAAATAAAGCGAAAAACAAAAAGAAAGAAGGGAAATATATTCAAGAGAAGAAAACAAAGAGGAAAGATGATGATTATTATTAATTGGCAGAAAAAGATTAAAGGGAATGATTGATTCATTCATTTTCTATGGTTTATCAACCCTATGCAGGTTATTTAAAGCCGGAAAATATTTTCTAGTTTTAAATAACCTGCAAAAACGAATCAATCAATCAATCTACTGATTAAGCAGAAGAAATTAAAAGAAGAAATTAGTAAGATTTTTAAACCATTATTATCGCCAAAATATATTCTTGATCTAAAAATATTTTTTAAAAAATAACCTGCAAAGGGTTGATAAGCCGTAAAAAACAAATCAATCAATCAATCTACTGATTAAATCAGAATAAATTAAAGGAAATTAGTAAGACTTGTAAAATCCATTATTATCGCCAAAATATATTCTTACAATCTAAAAATATTTTCTGGCTTTAAATAACCTGCAAAGGGTTGATAAGCCGTAAAAAAATCAATCAATCAATCAATCTACTGATTAAGCAGAAGAAATTAAAAACATTAGAAATTAGTAAGATTTTTTTAAACCATTATTATCGCCAAAAATATATTCTTACAATCTAAAAATATTTTCTGGCTTTAAATAACCTGCAAAGGGTTGATAAGCCGTAAAAAAAATGAATCAATCAATCAATCTACTGATTAAGCAGAATAAATTAAAGATTAAATTAGTAAGACTTGTAAACCATTATTATCGCCAAAATATATTCTTACAATCTAAAAATATTTTCTGGCTTTAAATAACCTGCAAAGGGTTGATAAGCCGTAAAAAACGAATCAATCAATCAATCTACTGATTAAGCAGAATAAATTAAAGGAAATTAGTAAGACTTGTAAACCATTATTATCGCCAAAATATATTCTTACAATCTAAAAATATTTTCTGGCTTTAAATAACCTGCAAAGGGTTGATAAGCCGTAAAAAAACGAATCAATCAATCAATCTACTGATTAAGCAGAAGAAATTAAAAGAAGAAATTAGTAAGATTTTTAAACCATTATTATCGCCAAAATATATTCTTACAATCTAAAAATATTTTCTGGCTTTAAATAACCTGCAAAGGGTTGATAAGCCGTAAAAAACGAATCAATCAATCAATCTACTGATTAAGCAGAAGAAATTAAAAGAAGAAATTTGTAAAACTTGTAAACCATTATTATCGCCAAAATATATTCTTAAAATCTAGAAAATATTTTCTGGCTTTTAAATAAACTGCAAAGGGTTGATAAGCCGTAAAAAACAAATCAGTCCATCTATCACCTACTAAGCTACGTGTTGGTCAAGACAGAACGAAACGAGGAACAAGAAAAGGAATGCCATAAACAATCAATATTTTTCAATACACAATATACACCTTGCAGAATAGACATGAAAACCCACATGTAAATATCGAAACGAGAAAAAATCAATCATGGTAATCATTTAGGGTCTTTAATGCGTCGATTCCGCAGGAATTGAGCAATTACACTTTGCAATGCACAACCACAGAACAATTCCGAATCTGGGGCCCCTCCTTTTTTTTTATTTTTATTTTGGAAAGCTTTCAATTTATTTTGGCTTAGTAGCTTTCGTGATCGATTGGTGACACTAAGTGTCATATTATCATAAACTCGATTGGCTTTCAGGGGGCTGCAATTAATTTTAGCAAGGTTAAGAGCAATCATCACTCTGGAAAAAATGTTTGTCGCAAATCGACGATAACAATAAATGAACATCATTTAGACAAGCCACAGAAGATAATTATGGACACGTTTTACATCAATATTACCAAATTGGTTTATATCTCTTTTTAATAGGAACTCCTGGAGATAGATAGATAGATAGATAGATAGATATAGATAGATAGATAGATATGGGACTTATAAAGTCTGTGGGTAATTTGAAATACAGTTTTCGAACAATTCATATGATGAATCCGTAAAATATATTTATAAACTTGATGTCTCTAGTTTTGTTTTTCTTCACGAGCTCATAGAATGCATGGAAGACTTTCGACTGAAAATGGGTAGACAAAACTGTTTGAAAGCCGTCGATGTTAATGGAAGCATGAAGGTACAAGTCCTTAAAGAATGCGTGAAAGAATTTCGAGTGAAATTGGGTCGGCAAAACTGTTTGAAAGCCGAGATGTTAGTACAGGCACGGAGTCATAATGAGCGGCCCAATACTCGTTAGCTTTGGTTGGCAATCGATCTAGAGATGGTGACTCAATTAAGCAACCATGCCCCATCAGCCGAGCCATTCGTGGGGATAGACTGGTTTGACAAACACGCAATGCCTGAAGCCCATCTCTCAGACTTCAATTGTCACATGATTCGGAAATATATCGGCCCCTTAAATGACTAGTCAAAGCCTTTAAATATTTAGCGCCAGTCATAGAACGATTGTCATGAACACCTTACACGTAACACTTACCTTTGATAATGAATTCCTTTCTCACAGGGAGTCAATAACGCACCGTCTTACGCTCGTAAAAGCTAAGCTAATCTTTAAAACTAGTCAGTGTCTCTCTAGAGCGACGGTTAGTTATGTAAGTAACTACAGAGACCAACTATTGCGCCCTTGTGCGAGGCTAATTCAAGCTTCAAAAATACCTAGGGTGTGTAATGGGCACCAGCCATTACGACAGAAAAACTACCCACAAAATATAATACAGGCTTCCACTTAACATAGATGAAGAGCAATAGTAAAAAAACAAAGAAAATCGAGGTTTACGGCCATGTTACGTTGAAACGCTGGTTATAGTACGATCACCGAGGTTAAGCAACGTCAAGCGTGGTCGGTACCTATATGGGTGACCGATAGGGGCAGTAAGCTTGGTGGTTGTTATGGTAATTTACCCACACAAGCATGGACTCTCTCAGCTATAAATAGGAGCAGGTCCTGCCTTTTGAAGAGGAAAGTTTCCAGTAGTCAGCTGTGACAGTCGGACCGAACATTCGTGCTGTAACACTCTCATTTGCATACGTTTGTATTGCTGTTTCTGTTAATATATTTGTTTAACTCAGTTCCTTTCTTGTGTCTTTATTTCTATCCGTAACAAGGCCATAACAATGGTGTAATGGATACAGGTACTGAGCAGGCTTGACCTTGCTTAACTTCTTTGATAGTATGGGAACTAATGTTTGAACGTGATGCGGCCGTAAAACCCTACATTTATACATGGTGTATTTTGGGTTTTAAACATGAAACACTTCAGTTAAAATTTTTAATGTTTTTAGAGACTCATCCAATTTATTTCATTAGCAACTCCGTTTTTATCCGAACTTTACATTCTACAGAAACGTATCTAGAATAGAGGGCATGTATTACACTGAAACTTAAATAGGACCTCTTCATCGAATTTCAAAGACCCACTTCAACTAGAGAGAGCCAGTTACTCTAAATTGTTTGAAAAGGAGACCCATTAAATCTAAAAATAAACAACTTTCCTCGGTTCTTATATCTTTTTTCAGTTTTATCAGGGGGCCCAATATCAGAGGACCTTGAGGGTCCTCTTGTCATAGTGTCTCTGAGCTGCAGTCTTTATTAGCGTATATGTAAATCCGGCACTGACAATACTGTTAAAATGATCTAACTAAAAGACGAAAGCTATTTCCAGTCAAATCAACAATTTAAAATTAATAATGCTTGGACTACGTTCACGCTCACCCCGATATTAATGGTTTCCATAGAGTATGCAGAAACATTCTAGCAATAACAAGATGAGAATAAGCGTCTGAATAAGTTCATAGGTTATATTGTAAAAGCTATTTGTCTGTAATTAGTAATGTAGACACTGGAATATATAAACATTATTCGTTTACCACACCTGGTTAGTATCCTAGCCCCGTTGCATTTCACAATTGTTTTAGTGATCTGGTCTTCAAGGAATGGCTATAAAAATCAATTTCTCATTTGTCGTACTTGGCTTTTTTTGTTGTTCATGATATAACGTATGCTTGACATATTTATGCAGAAAGGGACTTTAGTTCTTTCGTTCATGCATTGACGATTGTTCTGTTGCTTCTGTTATGTGTTAAAATTCTGTTGTGGTAAACCCTCCTACAGTAGAATGAACTCTTCTTCCACTCATTGAAGAATCAGATGGGAAGCGGGACCGGAGACACAGTGTTAACCTACCATTCGGACGTGCACCACTATCTGCTTATTACTAACACTAAAAGCTTCGAATTTAATTTTGTAATTAAATTAAAAAACATTAGTTCCATTTCATCCTCAAGCAAATCCAAAATTCACTTGAAGATGAAATGGAACTATGTTTTTAATTCAATTACAAAATTAAATTCGAAGCATTTAGCTTCCATCTTTGAAACATGGTTGTTACTATGTAGCGAAAAAAAACATATTTTAAATCAGTTAATTTATAATATTAATGCTCTGTAAATTTACATTGAACACTATTTTGTAAAAATAAAAATATCAATAAGAAAACCGGATTATATATCTTACTGTTTTTTCTTTTTATTTATATATATATATATAAATAATATAAATGACAAATGCTTCATTAGTACTGTAGGATTTACATTTTACGCGGTGACTTCAGATACCATATTTGTTAATGATCAAATTTCGCATAACAACTTTTAAATATTTTCAAAAAAAGTAAACAAAAGGTGTAATAAAGTTTGTTTTTGTAAGCAAACAACTGAGGTGGAATAAATT